TCCTTGGTTACCGCTGTAAACAAAGCAGTGCTGCACTTATGAACTTTAATATGCATTATACAGAGGCAAGATTTAAAGAAAAAATACCATTGAAAGACAGTAAGTTCCCCTCAGACATACATTCATATAAACTCCTACCCCTAATTGAATCGCGATTTGTTTAGCATCTCAACCGATTTGAATTGTGACATATTTGAATCGATTTTAACCCGGCTCGCGGTTAATCGTTACATCCCTAGATGCTACATGCACTTTTACAAGCTGTTTAAACTGAAATGTGTGTTGCCAGTGTGTGTACACAACCACCCTAAAATGATAAAAATCCACTCAGTGTTTTTTTTTTATCTACTAAAATCATTTCCCCTTTCTCAAATCGAGCCGATCTCAGACGCCTGTCTGTGACGTCACAAAAACAGGCCCCTCCCACGATAGTTTGATTGACAGTAGCGTTTCAGCACAGACTGGACTGGTGTCTTACCTTAGCTCCGCCCTGAGTGAGCTGTCATCAGACTGCCATTGTTTCACTGGTCAGCAGAGCTCATTAACATTTAAAGGGACATGCACCAAAATGGCTTGCTCTGGAGCTGTTTTTGACTGGGTAAAAGAGGTGTTTTTTACACTACCATTGAGAAATTTTAACCAAACTATGTTACAGACTTTTCATTAAGATTGTATTTAATCAACTTGTGGAAAATGGGCATCCGATGACCCCTTTAAGTTCAATGTAAGTCACTTTGGATGAAAGCGTCTGCCAGATGCATGAATGTAAATGAATACTTTACTTAAAGGAAATTCACCCAACATTAGAGGTCCTTAAAGGGACAGTTCACCCAAAAATGAATATTCTGTCATCATTTACTCTCCCTCGAGTTTCTTTCTTCTGCTGAACACAAAAGCAGATATTTTGAAGATTGTTCAGTTGCTAGTCCCCATTGATTTCAGTTATGGCATTCTTTTGTGTTCAGCATTCAGAGTTTTAACAGGCGTCTTCCTTCATGTGTGTCATTCACAGGGAAGCGAGTGTTTCAGAAGCGTCTGTTCTGTAACTGGACTGGAGGATATAAGTGGTCCACGGCTCTGGCCCTCAGGTGACCTCGCACTCATCTGAATCATAAACATGAGAGTTGTGTGTTAGTATGATGTCATACACCTGTATGAGCTTCCGTACTTTCATCTGGATTTGATTTATGAGTAAATTCACTGTTCGCTTTTTTAAAACCATTCCACACGCGTTCGGTGTGAACGGCCCGCAATAACAATAAATAAAACAATAACTACATTGATAAATATAACCATAACTATTTTGATAACTATTTAAACTGATAGAAAAAAATAAAATAGAATCGAATAGAACACAAACTGAAGCATTTAAACTGATAGAATAGAATAGAACAGAAAACAAACTGAAGCATTTAAACTGATAGAATAGAATAGGATAGAATAGAATAGAACAGAACACAAACTGAAGCATTTAAACTTATAGAATCGAATAGGATAGAATAGAACAGAACACAAACTGAAGCATTTAAACTGATAGAATAGAATAGAATATAACAGAAAACAAACTGAAGCATTAACCCTAATTCTATAGAATAGAATATAACAAAAAACAAACTGAAGCATTTAAACGGAGATCTGTAAGATAAATATTTTCATAAAACGTGAACATGTGAACTCATATAGTTATCTAAGTAGAGTTTAGAGTAGAGTTTGCACTTTACTACACCTGTGTGTGACTGTAAATGAGTTTTTGCTGTTCTGTGCTCATCATCCGCTGAGGTTTTATTTCACATCATTGCGTTTGCGTCGGCTCTCGTGTTGAGCGATCTCGTCCGCAACCATTGAAGTACTTGATTTCTACAGCGACTGATTCGGTGCACATCGTTCTCTTTCTATGAAACTTGTAAACCGCATTCACTGATTCTAACTCTACAGCAACTCTATAGTGGTTTGCTCGAGCATTGCCATTATTTTGCATTTACTAGAATTCAATCAAATGGCTTTCCCAACTCAGTTTGTCGCGTGTGTTCTGCGCGGTCACAACATGAGAGCATTGCTTGAGACTGTTTACGCTTGTGAGTGAAGGATGTTTATGATTGTACACTGCTGAGACACATTTACACTACCGCTCAAGAGGTTGGGATCAGTAAGACTTGTAATGTTTTTAAAGAAGTCTCTTCTGCTCATCACAGCTGCATTTATTTGATCAGAAATACAGAAAAAAAACAGTAATCTTGCAAAATGTTATTACAATATAAAATAATGGTTTCTATTTTAATATCCTTTAAAATATAATTTATTTCTGTGATGCAAAGCTGAATTTCCATCAGCCATTACTCCAGTATAAAGTGTCACATGATCTTCAGAAATCATAATAATATGCTGATTTATTATTAGAATTATCAATGTTGGCTGCTTAATATTGTTTTGGAAACTGTGATATTTTTTCAGGATTCTTTTATGAATAAAAAGTTAAAAAGAACAGCATTTATTCAAAATAGAAAACTTTTCTAACAATATAAATGTTTGCTATCACTTCTTAACAATTTAACACATCCTTGCTGAATAAAAGCTTTAATTTCTTTCAAAAAAAGAAAGAATAAAAATTTACCGACCCCCAAACTTTTGAACGGTAGTGTATATTGTTAGAAAAGATTTATATTTTAAATAAATGCTCTTCTTTTTAACTTTTTATTCATCAAAGAATCCTGAAAAAATATCACGGGTTCCAAAAAAATATTAAGCAGCACAACTGATAATAAATCAGCATATTAGTATGATTTATGAAGATTATGTGACACTGATGATGCTGGAAATTCAGCTTTGCATCACAGGAATAAATTAGAAAAACGTCATTTTACATCATAATGATATTTCACAATATTACATTTTTTCCTGTATTTTTGATCAAATAAATGCAGCCGTGATGAGCAGAAGAGACTCCTGTAAAAACATTACAAATCGTTCTGATCCCAAACTTTAGTGTGTATGCAAGCCGCATGTAAAAAGATGAGGTTGGACTCTCAGAGCGAGTGTCGCGGCTCAGGCTCAGGTTGTGTGACGTGTTGTCGTGTGTGCGCAGCATCGCTCTGGGTGGCTTCGGAGCGGACCGCTTCTATCTGGGCCAGTGGAGGGAAGGTCTGGGGAAGCTCTTCAGCTTCGGCGGTCTGGGCATCTGGACGCTGATCGACGTGCTTCTGATCGGGGTGGGATACGTGGGGCCGGCCGACGGCTCTCTGTACATCTGAGGGCTTGACTGTGACTCTGACTCCATCCCAGATTTCCAACCCGATTCGCACGTGTCGCGTCCAAACTCCCACTGCGGCAGATTCCCATCTGTGTTCGTGCCTTCAGCAGCACGTCTGACAGACCATCAGAGGAAGACTGCAGCGTTACAGACGATGCACAGTTCGGAGGATGTACAGTATGCATCTAAACTCATCTGTGTCGGTGTCATTTTACTGCTGTATGTATATATGTGTATATATATATATATGTGTGACGCTGGAGCACAAAAGCAGTCATATTGTAGCAATAGCCGATACATTGTATGGGTCAAAATGATCCATTTCTCTTTTATGCCAAAAATCATTAGGATATTAAGTAAAGATCATGTTCCATGAAGATATTTTGTAAATTTCCTACTGTAAATATATCAAAACTTAATGTTTGATTAGTAATATGCATTGCTAAGAACTTCATTCGAACAACTTTTAAGATGATTTTCTCAATATTTAGATTTTTTTGCACCCTCAGATTCCAGATTTTCAAATATTGTCCGATCCTAACAAACCATACATCAATGGAAAGCTTATTTATTCAGCTTTCAGCTGATGCATAAATCTCAATTTAAAAAAATTGACACTTATGACTGGTTTTGTGCTCCAGGGTCACATATGAGTGATTCGCTGTTTCTCACTGTTGATTTCTGATTAAACCAGCGTCAGGTCTATGACGGTGCTCACCTGTGTTTGGCTTTATCTGTCAGTATTCTTCACACATTCAGGTGAAAATTTGAAGCCAGGTTCAAAATTCCTGTTTGAATTTGTTGATATATTAAAGGTTTTATCAGAGGGATTTATCATTTTATGACTCCATAAATCTGAAAATTATGGAAGTTTGTTTCTGCCACGGGATAAAAAAATTAAAAAGGTCATTGTGACTTTTTATCTCACAATTCAGACAGTTTTCTCACAAAAAATGTATGTCTGTTTACGGTATTTTCTATGGAAGCTTGTTTTCTGCCACAGAATAAAAATAAAGGTATTTGTAACTTTTTTTTTTTCTCACAATTCAGACTTTTTTCTCGCAATTCTCATGAAAAAAAAAGATATAAAAACAGAATTGCAAGATGTAAACTCAGAATTCTGAGAAAGAATCAGAATCAGAATTGAGAGATAAAGTTGCAATTATCTTTATTTTTTTTTTGTAGAATTGCAAGAAAAAAGTTTATATGTAAAAAAAAATTCTGAAGTTTTTTCTCACAATTGCAAGTTTATATTTCACAATTCTTTTTTCTCAGAATTCTGAGTTTACATCTTGCAATTCTGTGTTTATGTATTGTTTCATGAGAATTGCGAGAAAAAAGTCTGAACTGCGAGAGAAAAAGTTGCAAATACCTTTATTTTTATTCTGTGGCAGGAAACAAGCTTCCATAGGAAATACCGTAAAAAGACAAATATATATATATATATTTTTTTTTTTTACCTTTTTTAGGAATAAAATGTTGTGTAACATTCAGAATAGATAGGAGTAAAACTAAAGTTTGGTGTGTGTGTGTAAAAGAAAACACTCTGTTATGAATTGGAATTTAATCTACAGATAAAGTGCAATGAAAATGTATATTTTGATGTTTTTTTCCCTAGTCTGAAAGAAGACGTGTTATGGAAGCGAACTAGAGCTTACAGTAGTTTCTGCTGTAGTGGTCTCTCTGGGATAGTTGCTTCTGATTGGTGTCACACTGCATGTGGCAGATGCTTTTATCCACAGTTCCCTAGGAATCGACCCTTGACCTCTGCGTCAGGATGTTGTGGTTCGCTCCTGATCTTCCCGCAGACTGATTGTGTTGTTAATCTACAGGACTGCTTAAGTGAATATACAGTAGCTGAAGTTACAGGTAAGTGTCTGTCTCTGATGAAATCTCTGATCTTCTGGTCTCTAGATGTGACTCGGGGTCCTCTGGGGTTTTTCTGCTGTTTAATAGTACAGTATGTTAGATGTTATATGAAGCAACTGTCTAAAAGGGATCGTTCACTTGTCATTAGTTTCATTTTTGTAATGAAAGTCAGTGGTGTTCAGTGTTGTTTGGTTCGCAACATTCTTCAAAGTATCTTCTTTTATGTTGCACAACAGAAAAAGTGATACATGTTTTGAACTACACGAGTGGGAGTAAATGATAGAATGATCACAATATCGCAACAAAACTGTTACAGTCGTCAGAAAAAGTTATTTAGGAGTTTTAATCCAGTTCTGTATAAGTATCAGTGTTATTTTAGTATCACTGAGATGCTATTTTAGTTTTTATCAATATTTTTAATCAGTTTTTTTTGTTTTTTGTTTTTCTAGTTTCAGTAATTTTGTTATTTTTATTTTTAATGTCTATATTATTTTTATTATAATGAGAAATGTTGCCTTGGCAACTAGCTGAAATAAAATAAGTTTAAGATTTTTTTTTTCCCCAGTTAATGCTTATTTTCTTTTAAGTAACGGAAATGTTTTTATAGTTTTAGTTAACTATAATAAACCTGGTAAGAATGAAGTATGCACCAGGGTTATTAAAACTGAACTAAAAAATTATTTGAAATAAAATAATCTTAAATAACTGGAATATAATAAAACACCTTATACTTTTTTTAAACATAATATTATATTTTATAATGTAATAACAACTACATAGACATATATAAAAAAAAGACAAAAACAAAATGACTAAAATAACAATAATACTAAAATAATAATAATAAATTTAACTACAATTAAAATGAAAATGGAAAATATTAAAAATATATAAATCTTAACAACTAGGATGGATGGGGCTTTCTGGACTGGTCATGTCAAGCACATTGCATTGTGGGATACAGTGTGCTGCATATTTGGGCCTACACACAGTCTGAATACAGTGAAAGTGTAAATGTGAGCCTGCAGCACAAAAGCAGTCTTAAGTCGCTGGGGTATATTTGTAGCAATAGCCAACAATACATTGTATGGGTCACAATTATGCATTTCTCTTTTATGCCAAAAATCATTAGGATATTAAGCAAAGATCATGTTCCATGAAGATATTTTGTAAATGTCCTACCGTAAATATATCAAAACTTAATTTTTGATTAGTAATATGCATTGCTAAAAACTTCATTTGGACAACTTTAAAGATGATTTTCTCAATATTTAGATTTTTTTGCACCCTCAGATTCCAGATTTTCAAATATTGTCCGATCCTAACAAACCATACATCAATGGAATGCTTATTTATTCAGCTTTCAGATGATGCATAAATCTCAATTTCAGAAAATGTACCCTTATGACTGGTTTTGTGCTCCAGGGTCACATATAGAAGAGCAGAAGGACACTGTATTGAGTTTGTCCCGATCAGCAGATTTGTGGGCTTTACTGTGGCTTTCCTCTGTTTACACTGCTCTTCCTCAGAGATGAGAACAGCAGTTTTGCACAAAGGTGTCTGGTAACGATCTGCAGTGTGGTTTGTGTCAGCTTCATCTGCACCCACATCCTGATGGACATGCTTTGCATTCGCTGCAGATCAGCATGCGTCCGTTTCTCACCAAAGCTGCACCTCCTCGAAGTGAGTTCACAGCGCAGACGACTGCTGGCTGTGTTACTACCGAGGAGACAGAGCAGTACTTTTCTCTACAGATTGCAGTCATTTCACAAATATATTGATCTGGATGTTGTCCAAAAAATGTCTTTTTAGATTTCATCACCTCCCTGAAGAGATAGTTTGGTTTTATGAGCTACAGTTTCAACATTTGCTTGATGTGCTGTCAGTCTTATATAATGAACCGGGCACATTTTAATTAACATAACTACCACTCATGCTATTTCTGCACTGTTTAGTTTGTGCACTGCATGCACGGTTTCTGTCTGCATGAACCTGGATGATCTGCTACATTTGCAAAAATGCGCAGTACACATGAGCACGCAGTTCCCTGCATACTGTATCCCACAATGCATTGCACTCAACTTGACCTTCCATTTACAGTAGAAGTGCTCCATTATTTCAACAGACTGACAAATGCTGCATATGTTACAAGCTTGGTTCAAAATGCAAAATAACTCCATTCTGAGATAACTGGATGCCACTGGCTGAATATCCAAATTGACTTGAATAATATCAGAAGCAATGTGTCAAAAGAGCCTCAATTCATAGTATACACCGGAAAGTTTGAAGTATGAGATATAGGCGTGTATAAGAAGAGCAGAGTAAGCGAACCAGATTTTGTATAAACGAGAGTTGTGTCGGTTTATGGCAGGGGATCGGTTAGGTAAGAGTTGTGTTAGAGGTGTCTTTAGATGTTTCTTGAAGGTTGTGATGGTCTCAGTGGATCAGCTGGAGGTTTGCGGCTCGTTCCACCAGAGAGGAACAGAGACGGTGAAGGTTCTGGAAAATTACATTATAGTTAAGCGTGTGCTCATGATAGCGTATTTTCTTCCAGTTAAATTGGCTGCATATTAGTCATAAGCCACATAATTCAGAAAATGCTTTGACATGAATGCTTTACGAGGTTGGAGACCGAACACACAGCATATAATTGCCATAAAAGCAAATTCAAAAGATTTAAATTACACAGAAGCCATTACCTAGATGAAGGATTCCTTTGTGATAATGAAACCATCAGATGTTGTGCTAAATGGACAATCTGGCCAAAGGAAGATGTTGCCAGTTTAATTGGAAACGCAGATGTATCTCTTTATACCCAAAAATGAACTCTAATTATCGAAATGCTTATCGAGTCCAGTGTGATTCAGGTGAGCGTGCAGATAAAAGCACACTCATTTACTGATATTAATGCACATTATCATAGAATATTGCAGCTACGTGCAAACTAAGCGCAGTCAGTCCAAACTGCATTTTGAACAGAGTTTCCACTCGGGTATAATTTAGCTCAGGATTGAACTCGTCTGATCTCACATTCGCTCGCAGTGGTCTCAGCATCCATTGGACATCAGATGGTTGCTAAGAAACAATTACAACGTCACACTGCGTCAAATAAAATCATCTCTCAGGTAATAGGAGCAAATGATCACGTTTCCTGCAGATTAAAATCATTTCAGCTACGATCCAGTTCCTCGAAGGAAGTGACGTGATTGTTAACTCTGGAAAAACCAGCCATTTATTTCAGCTCGCAGCAGGGTTAAAACAATGGTAAATGTAAACAATGCAGCGGTGTAGGACAGTGTAAACGCACGAGAGGAAAAGCATCTGATAGTATTTGTTTGATGCCAAAGAATCGAGTCAAACTCTTGGCACGGATTAATCTGTCACTTGGTAATAAGACAGA